AAATGCGTTATCGATTTTGTTATTATTTTTTTAATAAATCTGGTAAAAAATTACCTAAAACATTATCATTTTTACATAAAACATCAATGTTTTTTAACATTTCCGGTAAAGTAACCAATAATAACGAAACTGGTAGAAAAAAATAACAAAATCAGTAACGCTTTACCAGATATGTTAACAAAACCGGCAAAGCGCCCAATAAAAATAAAACCAGTAGAAATAATAATGTTTCCGACAATTTTTTATCGATTTTGTTAAAAAAATAATAACAAAACCAATAACATATTTATTTAACTGTATATTAAGCATGTCGCACGTGTTTCCTTTTGTTGACAGTTTTTATTAGGATTATAGTTGATGTTACGACTCCACATTCATGACATTTTTTAAATTATTCTATTGATTTATCACTATTTTAGGCTCTTAAATTAAATGTATTACGATTAATGATAGATTAAACAATATCAATTTATAACAAATCATTATAATTATATGCAATTTTGTACTACTGCTAGTTATATTTATCTTTCGTATTTTGTAATGATATTTGTTTGTATTTATTAATTATTCAATTTAATTAATTATTTAAAAAAAAAGATTCATATATATATTTTTTCTTAAATGATTAGTTTATACGCTTCAATACTTAAAAGAAAAATATGTGAACAACGTAATTTATTTAACTATATTGGACTCGAAATTTGTAATTAATTTATTAGAGAAGATAGATCTCAAACTCAAAGAATTTGCTTCATCAGATCCAATGAGCTATTGACTTTAAAGGCTTGTTTCCACTCATGTCTTCTGAAATAAATGTTTTAGATCTTTGACTGCAATTTTTTTTCCTTCTAAAATCCCATTTTATTTGGATAAATTTAAATTAAATCGGATAGGAACATGAAAGGGATGGTCAGAAAGTGAGTAGACATAAGCAGGAACATGATCTTATTCAATTCTGGAAATTCAGGATCAATGTACATTTCATTGTCGCCCACCAAATGAACAAGTGTAAAGCTGTATCAAGAATCGGAGAAGTCCGGCGATAAAACCACCCCGAGCAACAGCTACCGGTCGTGTCATGGATTTTGTTTGAAAATGTTCTTCTTCACTCCAGATGATCCCTCAGCCACGAGACTCGGTGTATCCAATATCTGCAAACCAGACATTGACTCAATGCTAAACGAACTATCTAAGCATGTGTTTACATATACCACATCGACTCGAGACGGCATAAGTAGATAGATACCTTTAAGTCGAGCTCCTCGAAGCATTGCTCCACATTGACTCGTGCTTTCGCGCTGCACTCGATGAATAGGCATCCGTATTTCTGAGCAAACTCGATGCCCTCTTTCTTGCTTACCACTCTTTCACTTTCCTACATACATGAAGGGTGTGTAGATGCTGCAGAGAACCGGTGCAATAGTGAAACATAAAAACAAACAACCTCGGTCAAAACTATACCTTATCAACTTTATTGCCAACAAGCATCTTGATGCAGTCCTGATTTGTCGAGTACAGATCGATTTCTTTAGCCCGTATATCAGATAGATTCGTAAATGTGTCTCGCCGCGTCACGTCATACACTACAATAGTACAAATATAGTACTTGCATAATTTGAGGAACCTCCTCTAGGACAAGGACCATAACAGATGAATAAATTAACCACGAGTAAATACCAGAAACAAAGAGCCCCTACTCCCCACCTTAGTTGAAGGGAATGCCTATTGTAAATCTTCTTCCAGTAGCTAAATCAATCTATGGTCAAGAATCTGATATCTTAGACAGCAATTACACACAACTACTAACAAGTAAAAACATCGGACCGATACTGTTTCCAATAGCAGTGTTCAGCTAAATCACCACAGCAAGTCAGCAACCTTGAGTAGGAGGCCTAACTTACCCAACCTCTTCATCAAGAACATCAAAAATGTTTCTCAATCCCATGTAGTCCGACCTAACAGACCAGCGTAAAATGAACCAAAACGACCCAACCTACACCGCCTTGTGAAGCTCATTCCGCCGATTATAGGAAAGTATGATTCCAAAATATCTAACAATTATGATATTTAATTAACAAAAGGCAGTAAGAACTTCAAAAGCATGATTGCTGATTAAAGAAGAAAAAGAAACTTCATGGACGAAGTGAATTATTACTATACACGATCTCATGGACCGAGCCGACATGTTCATCGTTTTTAACAACATATACAGATACTAGCAACTGATGTGCTATGGAAGTAACTAAAAGCAGCTGCTAACAAGAGATGAATGAAGTCCATACCCATATTGATTCCATGTGATCCTCTGTAATATTAACTCGTTAGCGTTCTAAATCTTTCCTGTCCGGCTGCACAAAATGAACACAATGCATGAACAATACCAAATTCTACAGAAGTACTATGGGAGTACAATGTCGAACCTATACATGCATGCATACATACATACATGCATACATACATACATGTATATAATGTTTGCAACTTCCACAATCATCATGATCCAAGACATATTACATTCAAATGTGCTCTAAGAACTCAAAATAAAAATATATAATGGAACAGGAAAAAGGAAAGAGACCCAACAACGTTTTACCAGTGTCCCAAACAGCGAGTTTCAGCTTTTTCCCTCCAAGAGTGACGTGCTTTACCTTAAGATCCACGCCTAAAGAACCAAAAAAGAAAAGAAAAAGAACCCAAAATCATAATCATTCATTCTTACATTTCTTACTGAACAAATTAGGCAAGAAAAAAGAAGATAGAAAAGGTTACCAATGGTGGGATTGAGTTCCTCAGAGGTATCGGAAGTGAAGCTCAAGAGCAGATTACTATTCCCCACACCAGAATATCCTATCAATAGCAACTTAAACAAGTAGTCAAACTCAGGTTGACTCGTCGACGATGACACTCCATCTTTTCAAATTTTCCTGAAAACTACAATTGTTGGTGTTGCAATATGGATTCGGAAAACAATGCAGAATAAGTAGAGTTTGTTTGCAGAGAAAATCAAAAGCAAAATAGTACGTAAAGTGTAGGAAGAATCTAAAGTCTTCTTTTATGTCGGTTTCTATCACAAAAGCTTAAAATTATCCGTTTATTTTTAAGGGTAAATTACATAAATGGTCCCATATTATAAGATATTATTTTATTGAGTCTATTGATTATTAAAAGTTATAAAATGGTCTTTCAACTTTAAAAGAGTATTTTATTATATCTCGACTATTAAAAGTTACAAAATAATCATATAGTCGTTTGAGATTGTGAGATTATATTTTATCATATCGCAATCACCATATTAATATCTAACTCAAACTGTTGTTAATTTTTAACAAAAAAAAACCGAACAAAACATAATAAATAATTAAATAATTATTTTATAATTTTTAATAATTGATGACGTAATAATATCCAATAGTGAATGCCTATTTATGTACTTTACCTTATTTTTAAACACCCGCCCGATTACTTGCTCAAGCGGTCTGGGATTGAATTCGGTGGGAGATAGAGTACGCGGGGCAGATTGTTAAAAAATTGAGTAAAAACAATCTTTGTTGACGTGTGAGTCGGTACATAAGTGTAAATTAACATATCTTTTAAATTATTTGTGAATTGTTTGAATAATGTTTATATATAATTTATCTATTAAATTAAATAAATAAGTATTAATAATTTTTTTATATTTGTTTAATAAATGAACATAAATATATGTGTGTTTAGTTCGTTTATATAATGAAGTTCGTTTATTGGTTTTTTTATAAGTTTTTTTATCGACTCATTTACTCAATTTTCTTTTCTTTTTTTATTTGAATATTGGTGAAGATAAAAATTGAATTGTTTGAATAATGTTTATATATAATTTATCTATTAAATTAAATAAATAAGTATTAATAATTTTTTTATATTTGTTTAATAAATGAACATAAATATATGTGTGTTTAGTTCGTTTATATTAATGAACAAGTTCGTTTATTGGTTTTTTTATAAGTTTTTTTTATCGACTCATTTACTCAAATTTTCTTTTCTTTTTTTTATTTGAAATATTGGTGAAGATAAAAATTAAATTAAATATAAGATAAAATTTAGAGTTCAAATTATGAAACCTAAAGAACTTAAAGACTAGTAACGTAATTTCACAATTTTTCTTTGATATATAAATAAAATGATAAAAAGAGAGTGTTGGTTGTTGAAACGAACGTATAAAGAACATGTTAGCAAACATTAAATGAACATCTTCACGAACATTAATTGAACATTTTCGTAAACGTTAAACGACCAAATAACTTTCTAATAATATGAAATTTTATGTAAAATAATTATTTTTTAAAATGTCAAATTAATAATTTATTGAAAATAAAAGGTTTTTAGTCTATTTAAAAAATTTCTCTCAACACTTATATATATATATATATATATATATAATATTCCATATACATTTTGTTATGATTTAAAGTAAAATAAATAATATAATATAAACTTAATATATTTATAATCTTTATGCTATTTAATATGAATTATTTAATGTGGTATTTGACAAATATAAATATTAATTATATCATGCCTGATAAATATAAGTACGAAATTTATTTTTGAAAAACACAATTATGACACTTATAAAATAAAACAAAAATTAGTATCAAATTAATTAAAAGCACTGGTATCATATTTATGAAGAACAATAAATTTAAATAATAAATGATATATTAAATCTTAAAATTTTGATTAATTAAATAAAAATTAGCTAACATAGGTTTCAACAAATTAAATTAGTTGGGTGATTAAAACAGAATAAAAACTTAAGTTTAGTGATAATTTTGGAGAAAAAATAGTTAGGTGGCTAAAATGAAACTGCATGAATAGTTGAGTTACTACATATGTAATTTACCTTTGTATTTTTTCAACAAAATTAATGATATGAGACAAATGAGGTAACAATTTAGACTATATAAAATAAAACGTTGGGGGAAATATTTTAAAAGACAATTCATTACAAAATACATAATTTAGGGGCATTTATGGAAGAAAAATATTATTACACTGCATTAATGGCTATCTTCATTCCAGATTCACAGTGCCCAGCAATGTTGCAAATGAAGAAGTTCAATCCCTTGTGCAGTTTCACCTCATCTTTCCCTGATTTATACACTTTTGCACCCGCCGCCGGCGTAATGCAACGCCGGTAACCTCCCCTGTTCACGGCCACCACATTGTGGAGCGTCGGATCATATTTGAACACTGCAAACAAATCAAATATGCAACTTCAAAACTCGTTTCTAGATGACGTGTATGTGTGTATGTACGTACTTACGGAGTTTGTCACCGGCCTTGAAATGCTTCCCTCGAGGCCAAGTGGCCGTGTTAAAGGTCCAACCATCGGAGCCTCCGACGGTATAAGTTGTCGCGTCGACGGTTTCCGAGAAAACCAGGAACCAAAGTAGCAATGGAACCATGAACTTGGCTTGATTTGAACTGCCGCTTCCCTGCGCCATCTCTAAGAAAAAAGCTTGGAATGTCAATGATGAAAATGGAGTTCCTTTTATGAGTAGTGGGTTAGGTGGGAAAGCTAAAGTTTGATGCCTTTATAAGCCGTTTAAAAGGAGCGATGTGTGGTCCACTCTCCAAGCCATTTCTAAAGAATCGAAATAACTCATTTGTTTTATAAAAATATTTAAAAAATAAGAAAATTATTTTTTAAAAATATTCTTTAGTGGATATAAATATATGATAAATGGTTAAAAATAAGATAAATTATATTTGCAGTCATTGAATTGTGAGGATACTTTCATTTTAGTCACTAAACTTTTAATACTTGTATTGCAATCACTAAAATTTTAATTTGATTTTATTACGGTCATTGTTAGAAACTGTTAAGCAATATTGACATGACATGTTAAAGTCTTCTTTCTAAAAAAAATATTAAGGTTCCAAATTTACAATAGTTGCAAAAGGCTAAATTTCTTATGAACAAAGCGGTCATTGATAATTCCAATGGTCGAAAGGATTCGTTTTGACCATAATATAACATAGCTTTATTTCAAGTTGATCTGACAATTAATAACGATATATTGAGAAGTTTTAGATTTTCAGTTTCTCTTAAGATTTGAAAAGGTTAAAAGGTTATATGATGAGTTTGAATCGAATGAATGAAAAAGAAGAAAATGAGAAGTTTGACGATCGTTTTGATCAGAGAAACTATCAAATGGTGAAAAAATGGTGAAAAAATGACGAGAATCTAATAGAAACTAAAAGTTAAAATTTTTCTATATGTCAATATTAATTTCCGGGTCAATTTTAAATCGTAATATGTTAATCTTCTGGACAAATTGAGCATTTTCACCGTTGGATTGACTGAATACCACTTTGTTGATCCAAAATTTGGGCTTTTGCGATGGCTTTCAATTTGGAAAGCTAATTTTTTTTTTGGGAGAAAAAGACTTTAACGTGCTACATAAACATTTGTTAATAGAAGCTAATGACAATGATCATAATGAAAGTGAATCTAAAGTATAGTGACTATAATGCAAGTTTCAAAAGTTTGGTGACTAAAGTGAAAGCATCCAATAACCAGAAATATCAAACTGAAATTATCATAATATATATCGGCAAACGATTTATATTGATATAATAAAATTTAAAACAAACAATTTCTAAACCTAAAAAACCATAACCAGAAAACGCAATACCACAAACACAAAAACCCTAAAACCACCAAAGCTAAAATTATGAATTTTACTAAAAGGACACATTTTGTAGGACATATCTTTCTTTAAAATAGTGATTACAAAAATTATGTTTTTCATGTTAAGAAAAGCCTTCACCACAAGTGTTCATTATTTTTTAAAAATATTTGAAGCATTATATCAATCACAGAAGTAAGCATCGATGAGTATTGACATAAGTGGTTGGGATTCAGAAATTTAAGTTTATAAAGTAAAAATCGAATCCTATCACTATCGTTCTTTGCGGGTAATTTATAAATTCATATGTAAATCTCAATTAGGTTTTAGGTATATCCTAACCCTGAAATAGAGGAACCACCCTTAACCTAAACTTTAATGTAGAAGAAAAATACGACGGAACTAGGAATAATTGTTTTGAATATATATTTAATAAATAATAATAATAATGCTTCAATCTTTAAGGCATTTAAAATTCTGATACTATAGCAACTTATATATTTTAATTGTTTTATGAATTGAAATACGAAAAAGTCCAGTGCCTAAATTATTACGTGTGGACTCGGAAGTTCTTGGACGAACTTCCAGGTGCTCATTCCTTAAGTTAAATACCTCATTTAATAACTCTGAGTTTAAGTCAAACAAGAAACAATAAATAGAATTTTAAATAGAATTAAATCTTTCTAATTTTCTGGAAACAAACTTGGATTTTATTTTCTTTTACTCGATTCAATTTTTATATTTTAAATTTATCAATATTGATTGTTGAATTTAATATTTTCTTTTAGATAAGTTGATATCATATATCACATCACAACATTAATTATTATATTTAACCTGTTTAGAATTATTAATTAACTAAGGGTTTGTTTTCTATTTCTCTCTCTCTTTTTATATTAGCTGTTAGTTTTTTTTTCTTCTTCAGCTTTAGGATCGATAGTGACATCAATCTTGATATTAATTACAGAACGTTGATATCCCTAATTGGGATATGCGCTTTGCGTTCATGGATAGTATCTTCACATCGTTCGATTCTGATTTGCGGTATGTCGGTGATCTTCCAATAGCTTTATTCTCTTTTGTGGTTCATTTGTCGATGCAGTCAGATCTATTCATATTTATCTCTTGTTCGAGTTTATTTGGTTAAGTTTTTTAACATTTTCCTTGTATGGTCCTTCTGTGTGTTATTGAGTGGCTAATTTTCTTGTATTTAAGAAAATATTCTTATTATATATGTTTAGTTTACGGTTGTGATTGTAAACTTTTATTGTAATTTAAATATTTTCTTTTTTTTTTTAATAAAATTAACCGCTTCTATATAAAAAAAATTAACCTTCCTAGATCAATTGATACTGGGAAGTTCTACAGTGCGACACCCTTAATATACGGATAAGGAAATGCGCTACCGGTTTTGTTATTATTTTTTAACAAAACCGGTAAAAAATTACCTAAAACATTATTATTTCTACCTAAAATATTAATATTTTTTAACGATTCTGATAGAAAAAATAACAAAACCGGTAGCGTTTTACCGAACATGTTAATAAAACCGGTAAAGGGCCAAATAATAACAAAACCGGTAGAAATAATAATGTTTCCGGTAATTTTTTTACCGATTTTATTAAAAAAAAATTAATAACAAAATCGATAACGTTTCTTTTTAGTCATATTAAGGCTGCCGCACGTGATCATTTCTCATTGATACTATATATCATATTGTCGAGTGATGTTTTCATAAATTTACTATTATTTTAATAAAATTTTAAAATTTTATTTTATTTTAAAGGATCTATAAATTCTACGTGGTAGATTTGCAATGTGTCGCATGCTACTAATATAAGAAAAAGCGCTACAATTAGTAATTAAAATTTTATTAAAGGATTTAATTGATTTAATTTTTTAATTGGAAAGTGGTTTCAAGTCCTGATTTAAGTGCGAATAGTTCTACAATACGAAAGTCTCAATATATCCTTTGGAACAGGCAGGTGTATGTTGGATGGTATAAGATCAAGTAATGAAACTCAATAGTGGTCGAGAGCAGGCATCTTCACCGATCGATTAGTCAAACATGTATTCTCATGAGATCCTAAGAAATTCCGTAAACTAAACCAGGTTTCAAATAGCATATGTGGCTTTTGCGAGTGAGAGAGGCCTAGATTAACTTTGACTTGACTCCTAAGGCATCAAGTATATGTAATATATAATACCTTGTTCAGTCATTGATCAGGTAAAAGGAAAATACAATGCGACATACTAAACATGAATCACTTTGCCCCTTCTTCAAGTAATTCAATTCAACAGGGATTTTTCAGTCTCATTCCAAGCTGTTTCACTTGTCACTTTCAATCAAAACTTCAAAAATAACAATAATTCAACTGGAGTTTTTCAGCAACTGTTCCTATAAGAACAGTAGGATCTCTTAACAGATCAAATTCAAGAAATTCCTTTGTCATCATCATGACCTTCATTTTCCTACTCCTTATTTCTTCCCAACTTCTTGTTATCAATGCTTGTCTTCAACGAGAAAGAGAAGCATTGATGAGCTTCAAATCGAACATGGCAGACCCTTCGAATCGTTTGTCTTCATGGAAAGGCCAAAACTGCTGCAGCTGGTACGGAATCAACTGTTCCGACACGTTTCATGTGACGGTCATCGACCTTCGGAATCCTGAGCCAGAGAACCTTTTTCTGGACATGAATTCCCAACTTGTTTCAACATCTGATGCCCCATCTACTGCTCTTATTGGTACCATCCATTCTTCACTTTTCTCACTTACTCATCTCACATATCTTGACCTCGGTTTCAACAACTTCAGCTTCTCAGAGGTTCCTTCAGGATTCTCAAACCTCACTGCACTCACTTATCAGAATCTGTCAAATGCTATGTTCGAGGATTCAATTACAACTCAGTTTTCCAACCTTACTTCCCTCGTGGAACTCGATCTTTCGTGTTCTTCGGTCATTCTGGACTACTCATCTGTTTACCCTTCTTTGTCGTCTACTATGACAATTCATTCAGGTTCTCAATATGCATTCATCAATAGGGGACGTTTGTATGCGTCGAAATTGAATTGGTCACAGGGGCTGAAAAATCTCAGAAAACTTTAACTGAGTGGTGTTGATCTATCTGAAGTGTGTCAATCAGCTCTATGGGCTAAACCGATATCGAATCTTACCAAGCTTAGGTTGCTTGACGTATCAAATTGTCAAATTTCGGGGAAGATTCCAATTGAACAGCTTCTCTTCCTTACCAGACTAACTGAATTGTACATGAGCTTCAACTTTTTTGCCACGAAAATCCCAAGTAAGTTGGCCAATCTCACCTATCTTAGGGTTCTTGACCTCACCAGATCAAACCTGCAAGGCCATATCCCCTACCTTCCTCAAGTAAAGATACTTTATTTGGGAAACAACTCAGACCTTACTGTCGATCTCCATTCTATGTTCGCGGTCCCCTGGCGCGGATTAGAATCGATCGACATATAATCTCCCCGTGTCATTGGATCCATCCCACCCTCCATCGGCAACTTCACCTCATTAGTCAAATTCAGAGCATACAATAGTTTCATTCAGGGTCAGATACCTACCTCCATGATGAACCTTTCGAGGTTGGAACACTTGTTTCTAGACATGAACAACATGAGTGGTGAGATTTCATCTTCAATATCCAATTTAAAAAGCCTGCAATTTTTATCTTTGATGCAGAACTCTTTTCATGGACCGATACCGGACACGATTTGTACCATTTCATCTGAGGTATCTAGACTTAGCAGTCAACTCTTTTACCGGAAACTTACCGGATTGCATAGGCCATCTCCATAACCTCAGCTGCCTTTCTGTAGGCTCCAACAACATGAACGGGTCAATCCCTTCATTGTCTTCTTTCTTCCGAAACTCGACTCCGTATATTCTAGATCTAGGATATAGTGGACTAACTGTGAAAGTAGACCAGCAACCCTTTCCACCAACATTTCAGCCAGAAATTTTGTACCTAGATTCATGTAATATAGGAGGTAAAATCCCAGATTTCATATCAAACCTGACCAAACTAGAATCATTAAGTTTGTCCAATAATAGCCTATCAGGAACAGTTCCTTCTTGGTTGTTCAATCTTCCCAATTTGGGTTACTTAGATCTTTCTTTCAACACACTCCAAGGCGACATCCCACCTAGCATTAAGCTAAAGTCATTTTTCATGCAGACAACACTTACATTAAGAAGCAATCTGCTTCAGGGATCGATCCCTCGGCGGCTCGACAACATACAAGCCTTGGATTTGTCGGAAAACAATTTCACAGGTAGCATTCCTTCAGAAGTTGGTCAGGGCAACATTAGGTACTTGGCACTCTCTGATAATCGAATTTCTGGTCCGATCCCATTTTCTCTATGTCAAGAAAACAATGAGCTTATGCTGCTTGATCTTTCCAACAACAACTTGTTCGGAACAGTTCCGACCAGCTTCGTAAATTGCAGATCGTTAGTGTACCTTAACCTTGGCTCGAATAACCTTACGGGTGGTATTCCAGGGGAACTTCAACATGCAAGAGGATTGAGATTTTTAGATATAAGTCAGAACCAATTTGATGGTCCTTTCCCTTCAGTTGTTCATAAATTTGAGAAAATAACGGTTATCGACATGAGAAACACCAAATTCAGTGGAGAGATCCCTCAATTCATCGGAGACCTTGAAGACCTTCGAGTTTTTGTGTTGGAATACAACTTGTTCAATGGTTCAATACCGGAAGAGATATGTGCTCTAGAAAATCTTCAATTCATTGGCTTCTCAAACAATCAGCTGTCTGGTCCAATCCCCGATAAGTTATCCGGATTAAAGACGATAGTAAACCGACCAAAAGACGGAGATCTTCTCAGGTTTATCATCTCGGAACGTTACATTGGTGTTGAAGTGGATATGGTGGCTAAGGGATTGTCAATGCAATTCGATGTGGTTCGAACATACAATAACGGAATGGATCTTTCATGCAACAATCTGACCGGAAATATTCCTTCAGAAATAGGCCTTCTGCAAGGGCTCTATGCACTTAATCTCTCCCATAATCGTCTCTCTGGTAACATCCCTTGTACCATAGGAAACATGAGTCTCCTTGAATCTCTGGACCTCAGTTACAACAATCTAAGTGGTGAAATCCCGATTTCATTGACCCTGTTGGATTCGATTTCGACATTAAACTTGGCGTACAACAATTTAAGTGGGAAAATATCGACGAGTCCACACTTTGATACGTTGAGTAGAGATGGATTAGCATACATTGGCAACAAATTCTTGTGTGGAGCTCCTGATGGTATCAACTGTGACGACGACAATTTCCCAGCTCCGGAAACATCTGATGATAGTGAAGATCAATCCAGAGAGTGGAGATTGCTGCTAGCCGTTATGTTTGCAGGGTATGTAGTTGGCTTCTGGGGGCTTTTCGGGGTTGTTTACTTGGTGAATAAGAAATGGAGGGAGGCTTACTGGGAAATTGTTGATCGAATCGTTACTGAAATCATCAGATGCACTAAAATCAGATTATCTTCCGATTAGTGAGCAATTCGATTCGATTAATCAGTCCCTTTCCAAAGATTGTTTTAGTTGTACGTAAGATCTGATGTATTGAGAATGTATAATATTTTATGTATTATCTGTAAGTTATATGATAACACCCATTGATGTGTTTCCGACTTTCTTGAAATTATTCGTTGATGATGTTGCGTCATGACGAGGCTTTTTGCCTACTGATAGTGCTTCTGTGGAACTTCTCCTGCTTCTTTTTCATAAGTGTGGAGGTTCGGGTTGGTCTTTGGAGCCAATTTAGGCCTCACTTCTACCATTTGCAGTCTATTTTAGGACTTTCAACCAATAAAAAATAAGTATAAAGTAAAAAATTACTTTTCGACACATTCTGTGTTTAGGGTATTTTTTATCCTACGCATTTTTTTTAGATAAAAAAGTCTCTATATACATGGAAATCGTTTGTCAAAACGCTCTAAAATAACGATTTTTTTTAAAAAATGAAACGTTGAGAATGAAAATACTCCAAAAGAAAAGTATAAAGGTTAAAAAAATGGTTGTCTCTTGTTCACATATGTAATGGGGTAAGGGGAGGTAAGATAGTAGGTTGCCCCCAACACTAGGTTGAGAACAACTTTCGTAGGAGATGAAATGCCCTCCATAGGACTCGATCCTACGATCTCAAGGTTAAGAATAAAGGCTAAAGTGACTATTTAATTAAATATTATGAAAATTTTATTCTAAAATGAAATATTGAGACAAAATACTCCAAAATAAAAATAAAATCAAGTTAACTATTTTGATTAAACATTAAGAGTATCTTTAAGTGGTATGCCTTTATAATATTGGTTTGTGTATAGGATCAAATATCATCCGAGCCCGCCATGGAAAACGAAGCTTTGGTTGTAAAGAAATTAGAGCACAACGAAGGGACTAATGCCATCGGCAACCTAATTTGCAAGTTGCAACTATTGAATATACATACATATATATATATATATGAAGGTATAAATAGTCATTTTATTCTATTTTTTTAACATTTTACAATTTGATATTTTAATGTTTTGTTAAATAAAAATCGTTAATTAACTAACTACTAAAATATATTACTGACATGAAATTTTCATACGTATTTCATTAATTGCGAGACATGTGTAAAGACATTTGTCTTGGCATCATATATTGGTGCGAGCAGTGTAATTTCAAGCTTGATGAAATGTGTTGCTCTGACAGCTCATGAAATTGGGGTTAAATTAACTTCGAAATATAATCTCATTTTTATATTTTTCTCATTTCTCGAAAAAAAAAATCATATATGATACCCTAATTTGATAACTTTTTAAAAAAATTCAAATACCAAATGAGAATATTTTATAAATTTATATATCTAATTAAACAAAAACAAAAAACAAACACATATACCACGTTAGAAAAAAAAAACGAAAATGATCAAGCACTTTAATTGAAATTCCCAGCATTATTATCTCACAACCCTAGTTGCTTTTATCTTTACACTTAGGGTAAACTACAAGTTTAGTACCTAAATTATTATTTTTATTTTGTTTTGGTACCTGAATTTTTATATTTTTTAACTGTCTTTACCATTTAGTTTAGGTTTCAATTTGATACCCTTCGTTAAAAACAATAGAACTACTGACGTGATATTTTTTTATTTTTTATAATGACGTGGAATTACCCTTTGGTGACATTTCAGCATCACCGTTAAGTTTTTAGTGGTGGGTACCAAAATGAAACCTAAACTAAATGTTAGATATGATTTTAGAAAAAAGAATAAGGTTTGAGTATCAAAACGGAATACAAATAATAATTTAGATAATAAACATGTAGTTTAGTCTTAAACTTATTATTAAATATATGTCATCCGATGAATATTGGATAGAAAAGGCAACATTATCTATTTTCTATATAATGTATTTTATAATCGCTAATGATATATTACGGACATGAAATTTTATCCATACAATACTCATTAGCAGAACTAATTAATTCATAATCCTTTTAGATTAAACATGGGATTAGGATAATCATTTCATTTGACAAAATAAGAGTTCTGCAAAACTTTCAAAGCCCAAATCCCACTATGATTGCTCCCTTCATGTCTTTGATTCTTTTCACATCCCACTCTTCCAACTATAACTTCTATTATTCAATTGCATAAACATGTTTATGGTCCAGCATGGAGCTAATTTTGAATGTTCATTATAAACTATAAAGCTGGTCCAGGAAAAAGAACTTTTTAATCCTCTGTGTTTATGTAAAATTTCAGAGTAGGGGTTGCCAATCATCTAACATTTTTCTTCTATAATATAAGTTTCCCATTTGCATCTTTACTTCATTTGAACTCGGTTCACACAATAACTCGAGCAACATAAGTTTGAGGTCCAATAACGGTCCGAGCCAACTTTTGAGCTCCGTTCGAACATGAATGTCTTATTTACACTCCTGAAAGAATAAGTAAAGAGAAACAGGAACGAGAACTGCACAAGACTCTTAATGAACAACAACAGCGCTATAGAATTCTCATCATAGTTTACAGGATTTTCCCAGTACAGCATCAAAAGAATGATTGTCATTAGTTAAAATTGTAATAGCCTGTAAAACTTACATATTGCTCTTGAAAATTGCAAGACAAATTAGTGCATAATGTTTTTTTTAGTATCTAATTCTTCATACCAATGAAACATAAAGCTACCTCAGCTTGGGCTTGCAGCTCTTCCAATACCTTGATAAGTTTCTCACGTGGAATCTTTGTTTCACTTTGCTCAGTCAGCATTTTCCTCAATCTTCATCCATGCACACCAGAAAAACCGAGCCAAAATTTAAGATTACAACTGAAAATTCAGTGACAAAAAGAAAAAGATCGACTGAAAAGCTAACTATTGACGTCTAGTTATCCGGACATGAAAAATTGAGTACACCCATATCGGACAAATATTCATATTCCTCATTCACCTTCAAGTTCAGGTGACTACAGCCTCATCGATGTCAAACCAAATTATGCAACAATGATAGAATACTTGAGAATGGATCATGGAAACATCATCAAAAGACATAAGCAGTATATAAGTTTCAGGTTAAGCAAAACGTACCTATGAACAATGGCTATGTTCCCGTGTCCAGTGCATATTATAAACATCGAGTTAGCGGGTAATGCAGTGTGGAGACTACGAACCCTAGTGTCAATGCGAGTTAATATTTCCTTTAGCTCAGTTGAAATTTTGTATTTGATTCCTTTTTGTTTATCAGGTTTCTTATCACATGTAAGCAACGATATCATCTCTGCAAGCTTTCCATTCAACTTTAAATCATCCTCGGCTTGTTTTCTGAAATAGGAGTTCAGTTCGGAAAACTGTGTCCATACAAAGTGTACACGATCGTTCTTGACCTAGCATAACACATAATATAATTTGATAAGCCAGACGGGATAGATAAAGGTATACCAGAAAAGCAATAAGCCTTACCT